GGAGGAGGCACGGGGGAGGTGGAGGAAGCATTGCTGTGCCCCTTTCCCACCCAAAACGGGGAAGGGGATGGAGCCGGGCGTACCCCGGTGGCAGAAAGGATTGGGGGGGGGGCTTTAGGAAGAAGCCGTGCCCCCCTCCGAGCACCGTGGGTCTCGCGGCGACGGGGCGAACCCTGAAACATCCCTCCCTGGAGCTCCCACCTTTGCCGTGGAAATGATCCCGGTAATAGCGAGCGCCGAGATCCACGTGCTCGACGCTGTAGTGCTTGAGGCGGTTGGGGTTTCTCTGCAGCTCCTTGGGGACCTCCAGCACCGAGACGCCGGCGTTGGTGGGACGGACGTCGAGGACGGGTTCGGAGAAGCCCCCCTCCGCCGCCGGCATTCCCGGGGATCCCGCCGAAGCTTTGGAGAAGCTGACGTTGCGCTCGCCGCTGCCGCCGATCTCGTTACGGAAATGGGGGCAGCTGAGGAGAAGCTCGTTGCTGGTGTTATCCCCCACGTCGTGCTCCAAATTCTCCTTACAATTAAGATCCTCGGTGCTGGCAAACGCCGGATCCGATCCGCCCAAGCCGCCGGCACGAACGGTGGCGGCCGAAGCCGCCGAGGCGCCCGTGGTGGTGTTGCGCCGTTGGGCTACCACGGCTCGGTTGATGGCTACGAGGTTGAGGTCGAAGAGCATGCTCTGCACGTCGTAGTGGGCGAAGCTCTTCTGGCACACCCAGGCCTTGCCCGGCTCCGGCGTCCGCGGCTCCTCCGGCTCCCCCTCGTTTCGCCCGCTCCGGAGTTTTTTAAAGATGGATTCGCCTCCGGCATCGCCTTTGGGACACCTCCTACGGGGTTTCTCCTTGGATTGTGCCGACGGCTCATCCCGGGGTCCATTCCTACCCTCCGTCTTGATCCCAGGATACGATCCCGGTGGAAAACCGGCTTCCCCGAGGCGCTCGGGCGTCCCGGCTCGTCGGTCCGGCTTCTTGGTCCGAAATTCATTGAGCATATCGAAGAAGCTCTGCTCCGAGATGCCCTGCACGTCGATGGAGGAGGTGCTGCCGTACTCGCGGAAAAGCCCGGCGCCTCCTCCCAGTTTGGTCCCTCGCGGCTCCGCCGGCTCCTCCGGGTCGCACTCGCTCAGCGTCACCTCGCTGCTGCTCCGGTGCCGCAGCGGCGCCAAACCCCTCGCCGGAGAACGGGGCCAGCCCTCCTGAAATTCCACGTCCTTGGATCGTCGCCGCGCCAAGCGGTGAAGGGCTTTAAAACCCGAAACGCCGGCAAGGGGCTGCTGCCC